TATGAAGAAGGTAGCTGACGTTTTGGTTAAAGGAGGTGTTGCAGGATGTAGTTCCAGTGATTTTGTGGTGCAACACACTTCGGCTCCTCAACCCCAGCGAACCAGCCCTCCACGCACCAATAGCCAGCAAGAACGCGCTCGGCGCAACTTTGTTCCCCCTCAATCTAACTCAGGGAACAAATCTCCATCATTCTCCTCCTCGGATGACGATTCTGGTGACGATGTGACTAGCACACCAATGGACCATTCCGTTGCACTATACGGCTACTACAATGCAGCCTACAATCCCTATGGTCCCCCTTATGGCTACAGCGCCCCTCAGCCAAGCTATTACGTCACCTACCCTAACCCAGACGATTCCGACAACTAGCGAGGTACTCCATCACTTCTCATTGTATATACCGTTTTCATTTCTTGCAATTTATTTCTCTTTTCGGTATCTCTCTCGCCTTAACAACACAAAGACTGTGTGAATTAAGTTTGGGGGAGGTACCAAATATTTAATCATCCTTTTCTTTGATGTTTTGAGTCTCACGCATTGCATTTCATTTTTTTTTAAAAAAAAAAAAAAAAAATCGAAAAAAAACAACTAAAACAAAAAAAAATCATCATGTAGGTTGCATCATTTGTATTTTTAGGAGAGTCTAGAGCATATAGTTTGCATTCACTTGCATTGGGAACAATGATTTTAAAACACCTTGTAATGAACACTTGTCAAGAGCTCAAAGTGACACCCTAGTAGACACATCAAGTAGCTTAAACATCTCTTGAAAACCTTGCACGCTTCGAGCCTTGAAAACTCTTCTTGAAACATGTTTGCTTGCTTTAAATCGACATTGTTCTTAAAACCAGCTCCAATCTGAATTTTGGCTTAATGAACTTAATCTCTCTTGCATATGGGCACTTGTATACTTGATCATGGATCTCATACACATTTGGGTTATCTTACTCCATTTTCACCACTCTTTTGTTAACCCAAGTGGTACTCCACACCCTTGAATTGAACCCAAGCCATTCTTTTGAGACCAAACATCTAATTTGCATGAGTGAGGCCTTCTTTTGATAGCTTGTCATGTGCAAAATATTGAGAGTATTGGAGGCGACATAAGTTTGTTCTCATCTCTTGCTAGCATAGAATCTCTTTTGAGCTGGCATCTAGGATGGTGAGTGGGGTTTTTGTGTTTCAAAGCTGATATTTTGGGTTGTGAATGAGAGATTATGAGAAAGTTGAACCAAAGTGTACCATAAGAAAAAGAAAGAAAGCCACTAGGAACCAAACCGAATGAAGAAGAGCTCTAGATCATGTATTAAGTAACCCTTCCCATAAAAAAAAAAGAGAAAGAGGAATCAAAGAAATAAGTTTGGGGGAGAAGATG